TCATGTAAAATATTTATTTATGTGTTTGCTTCCCGTCAAACCAAACGCTTTCAGCTCCCGTTGGTAGTAGCAAAGGGTGAGGGGATGAATGAAGTGAGCACTAGTTTAATCCTTAATGCTTCTGTTTCCGAGCTGTTTTGCCAGTGCTGCAGCGGGCGAACAGAGAGACTAGGGCCTGCGTTCTGCATGTGCGAGGATGTTACAGCACAGTGAATGATCCTCCTCAGGGTATGATGTGTAAAACGGGACTGGCTCTAAATCCAAAAGGTTTTCCTTCTACCTTCTTTTTTTCTTCAGCTCTTCTAAGAAAAGACCTTGCCTTTTCCCACAAGCCTTCCTCCCCTCTTGTTCTTTTCCTATTGGGTCTGCAGTTGATACTGTAAAGATTTATGCTTTGTCTGATAGAGGAAAATTATTAATAGTAGTACTTGTAGAGTCACATCTTTAAATAGATATAACTCTCTTATTATCCCTCACCCTGACCCGCTTTAGTAGCAGCCTTTCCTTGTTCCTGCTGTGTCTTACCTTTTCTCTGACAACTGTGATGAAGCAGCCTTTTCCAGCCACCGATGGTCAGGTGTGGCAGTGGCTGAGCTGATCTCTTCACGCACGGTACTAGATCTGGGGCTTCCAGAAAGAAAAAGCATGTGGCTTTTTCCCAGTGTGAGCTGAAAACTGCTGCTGTGCGCCTCTGGAGGTCCTACTTTCACCTTCATTTGCAGGAAGTTTTCAACTAGCTCTTTGGTGGTGCATGGTGCCTTCTTATAGTCCTAATATTCCTTAAACTTGAGATTTTTTTTAGGCTTTCAGTGACAGAGGAGTAAATTTATTATTTCTTTCTGTGACAGTCCTGTGGTAATTTTTGTTTGTGGTTACAGTCTCCATTTTTTTAGTAGTTTTGGAATAAGCTTTCTGTCTTTTCTATGTCTCTCCGGAATAAATAAGTCCATAAGTACCCTTATTCATTTAGCTAACTCTAAATGTTATTATTTAGATAATTCTAACTAATACAAAGCAGTTCTGTGGAAATGTTCGTACTTAAGTATTTTAGCTGCTGGTGCATCTGCATGCATATGTTTATATATCTAAAATACGTATTTTTTTAATGTAAAATATATTCTCTTCATGTATTTAAAAGGAAAAAGCAGGCATCAAAATGTAGCGCAAAACTGAGAGGTGGGAGATGTTTTAAATGTAAGAGGGGAATGACGCGTGGGATTTTTCTTAAATCGCTATTTTGGAACTGTGAAAAAATAGATAGTTTCATTTCTAAAATACAAATAAGAAGGCAAAAGAAGAAATGATGTACAAACCAGATGGGGAAAACGGAGATCAGCAACCAGTAATATATATCAGCCAAAGAACTGAGGCAGCTGGTGGGGAAACTCGGGATCTGTGTGCG